AGATGTTGCATTAGGAAACAATTATCACTCTAGAGGTGCTGAATTACACCTTTAGAAGTTTTTCTTCCTCATATTGAATGTGATACATTTTTGACCAAGTAGTTGCATTTTATTTTATTTTATTTTATTTTATTTTATTTTATTTTATTTTATTTGTTTAAAGAAACAGCAACTATGTACATGTATAATTACAATAATGTTAATTCACGTTCCAAGTTCTCAACTGATTATATGTAATTATTCTTCACCCCTTGCTGAACTTACATGGGAAATTGTTCTTCTCATATATTTTCACCTGAGGAAACTGAATCAGATTTTGGACTGGGATTTGCATTTTCCCCCTAGTTTCATAGAATGTAAGGTCAGGAAGGACCATTAGATTATCTGTTCTGATCACAGTTCACTAACATCCACTCAAACACCCTTGCTTTGAGCCCAATGTTCTAGTTACAGCAACGCACCCTGGTTCTCAGGAGACTAACCTGTTTTGTGACAAAGGTAGAGAACAGGAGAGACTCAGGTGGAATCAGTGCCTAAGGCCCTTGCAATGGCAGAGAACTGATTAAGTGAAACATCTCGGCTGTGTCTAGAATGGCCAAGTTTTTTTGGAAAACAACTTGCCAACTGTCTACACTGGCCGCTTGAATTTCCGCAAAAGCACTGACTTCCTACTGTAAGAAATCAGTGCTTTTTGTGGAAATACTATGCTGCTCCCGTTCGGGCAAAAGTCCCTTTTACACAAAACTTTCGCACAAAAGGGCCAGTGTAGACAGCTGAGATTTGTTTTGCTCAAAAAAGCCCTGATCGTGAAAATGGCGATTGGGGCTTTTTTGCACAAAAACATGTCTAGATTGGCCATGGACGCTTTTCCGCAAAAAGTGCTTTTGCAGGAAAGCGTCCTGCCAATCTAGGCGCTTTTTTCTGAAAATGCTTTTAACGGAAAACTTTTCCGTTAAAAGCATTTCCGGAAAATCATGCCAGTCTAGATGTTGCCCTCCAGATAATCCTTTGCATTTGGCATCCCCCAGATGATCCATTTGCACCTAATTAGGCCTCTTTGAAGCTCTCAGTTTAAGTGACTTGCCAACAGTCAGTCGGTGTGAGAGCTGGCCTTAGACCATAGCCTAGTTACCAATGCTCAAGCTATTAGACCCTGAGGCCCCAGTATGTGCCCTGTCGATGTGTATTCTCTTCAGCCCTATGTGAAACCTTCTGAAACAAGATGGTTTCAAAGATACATTCATGGAAAGGGTATATTGTTGAAGGCTGGATCCTGAAATGCTTCCTAGGCAACTTCCTGTGAACATCAGCTCCCTACCCCCCGAAAGCTCTAAGTGAGCTCTGTGTGATTTTGGCCAGATGTAAGTCTCTCAGGCTTTAGTACTGTGCAGCTTATACGTCCTCACCTCCTCAAGCAGGCATACCCTTTGATCACGTATGTCAGGCCTTGGTCACCCACCCCATATGTCTGTCAGAGCTAATCAAGAACAATGCCACAGAAGGCATCTGAGGAAGTGGGTTTTACCTATGAAAGCTCATGATAATACATATAGGGTTGCCAGCTGCTTTAACCAAAAATACCGAACCCCCCCCAGCAAAAAAACAACAACAACAACAACAACACCGGGGAAGAAAATTCTGTTGAGACTAAAGTTGTTGAGCAAAAAAAAAGGACCCTGAGAATTGTTAAGCAAAAAGAATTAAAAAACCCAGCGTGGCCCCTTTCAGAAATGGTTTTGAGGCTTTTTGACCTTAGCAGGCTGCTGGCAGCAGTCTGCCATCTTGTCTCCCTGCTCCAGGCCAGACAGCTCCCCTGTGGAATCAGGTAAGCACCCGGGATTTTCGCTTTCTGGCTGGGAAAAATCAGAAAATACCAGATATTTTAGGTGTCTTGTATTTTCTGAATTTTTTTTATTGGACATGAGGCGAAAATACCAGACACCTGGCAACCCTAAATACATATTTGTTAGTTTCTAAATTGCCATGGGACTGCTTGCTTTTTTAAAAGTTATAGGCTAACACAGCTGCCCCTCTGAGACTTTCTATTGAAGGAAGTCACACCAGTGTCAGTCCAGTGCAACTAAGAGGAGAATCAGGGCTCAGATGTTACCATCCCTCATGTGCATGCAGTGAATAGATCACTCAAGGACATGGGCAAAATTTAGCTATGTCAAATGTGGATTCCTGCAATACTCCCCGACATCAGACAGAAAGTTCCATTGATGCAAGTCATTCCCAGTCTGTGAATGGGTGTTGCACTCCTTTGGGAGGGTGAAGAGTGCAAGGAGAGGATCATGAGTGGTGAGGAATGCTTCAGAACTCTGAATCTGCTCCCCGACCCACTGCAAAACCAACTGCCACTGAACTGCTCTTTGAAAGCCACCCATCAGCTTTTCCAGTAGCTCTTAGTGCAGCTAACAGGGAGCCTTCTTCTCTCTTCTGCAGTAGTTAGCTCAATGGTAGAAGCATGAATGCCTTGTGGCACTCTGATCCCCCTGTGTAGATTGGCTCCCCACCTTCAGTAGCATACACGTTCTTCCCCTCACTGCCCTGGAGAGCCGGGGAATGGCAAAGAGGATTAATTAGAAGGCAGAACAAGCTGGAAAGAGATATAACCCCCCACACGTTTAAATAAGATGGAAAGAAATAAAACAAACACAATAAGGGAAGAAAGAGAATGAGGAGGATGGCGATAACTGTAGGGGCTAAGAACAAAGAGACTTAATCTGTCTGTCTGTTGTGAGTGGTGGTGAAGGGGGTGGGGGGCAACGAGAGAAAGTTGTTGGGATGCACTCATCTCTCTTGCTGCCCTGTCAGCAGCTGCCATGTGACTGCTTGACGTTTCCAGCACTGCCTCTAGCTGTGGAATCTGACTCTGGGAAGTCCTCAAGCAAACTCACAGGCAGTATATATTTCGGCAACCACTGCCAATGCTGCATGCCCCGGGTTTTCACTGCCCGCGTGTGCACAGAGGGCAGATTTAATCAAACGACTTGGTGCTTCCCTGCAATTTTTCTTTATGTGTAAATCACGTTGAATTGTAGTGCTCCTTCACATTGTGCCCTCTTCCTCCTTGAATCCCACAGTGCTACTTCAAATGCCTCCTATTAATAAACCTACACTGACATGTCTTCCCTTCAGACACACACTAGACTCAGGAGGACACTTACATAGCCTGTCCAGACAGTCTTCTAGCTTCTAGCCCAGCCAATAGGGATCACTAGCAAAATACCACAAATCTTTCAAGGGCTGTGTGTACCACATCCCTACTGTTATTATAACAAATGCATTTCCTACTAATACAGCCATCATGGTATATTCATCTCTGGGAGCTAAACCCACAGACCTGCCTTCCAGATCAGTTCTGAAGTAGACTATGAACTATCAGAGGAGCAGCATTTTAGCAACATTGTTAGTCTCAACTTTTTAAACATCTAAATTTGAAATGTTGACAATTTAATTAGTGAAATTTTTAATGTTGAAATATTTTGATTCATTCCAATATGAGACTAGAATACACTTGTTGGCTAAAGATACTGGAAAGTAATAGGTTCCCATAAACTTGAGCTCACTAGACAGTCTATGGATCCAAAAGCACTTTGTACCTTAACCAAGAAAGCTGGTCAAAAAAGGACTTTTTGCATCAAAAAAATAAACAAATAATTAATTTCTCATCAAAGTTTTCTACAGAATTTTTTATTAAAAAATGCAGTTAAAGGTCAAATTTAAAACCTGAAAATTTTGTGTGAAAAGGTGCCAACACCCAAAGGATTTTGGTAAAAAAAATTAACATTCACATTTTCAAGGGCAAGAAGGGGCTATTAATATGCCCTCTTATGTGAAAGAGGCCATAGAATTTCACAGTTTTCCCGTATTTACTCCCAAATTGTGCTTGACTAGAGCATATGGCTCAGAAAAGCATCTAGTCTGGCAATGAAGATATCAAGAAGTGAATCCTCCACCACTGCCTTTGGTAGTTTGCCCCAATGGTTAATCTCCTGCAGCATTAACAATCTATGTTATGTGTCTAATTTGAATTTGTCTGGCTTTAGCTTCCAGTCATGGTTCTCATTATGCCCTGCTCCGCTAGGTTAAAGAACTCATTTGTACCTGGTATTTTCTCCCCATGAAGATGCGATCATCAAATCACCTCTTGATGTTCTTTTTTAAAATACACTAAACAAATTGAAACCCTTAATTCTCTCATTTCACAGAATTTTTTTAAGACCTCAAATATTCTTTGGGTCTTTTTTTTTCTTTCTCTTCTGTTCACTCTCTGTTGCTGTGTTCCTCGGACTATGGTGCTTGGCCAGTGTTGTTTCATCAGTGGCACACCAGTTCTCTGTATTCCAGGGGTATGGGCCAGAATTTCCATTTCCTAAATCCATGGTTACAAACCTGTATGTAACACTGGCTGGGATGCAAAAAATCATGCAGCAAAATAAACATCCACAAAGGGATAAAGTGTTGCTTGTGGATATACATTTATCCTTTGCATTTTCTTCCCATACTACACACAGAAACACAACTCTCAGGGAAACACATACACATAGATACTGACATGCATAAACATAGATCCACATGCAGAAACACACCGCTTACAGAGATTCACATACAGATTCCCAGACATATATATTTATAGATATGTAAGGGGACTGTTACCCCTTACTAAAACTCTGTGGGAGTTTTTTGGTTTACCAGCTTCAGAAGGGGAAGGGTTCATGAGACTGACAGACCCCAGAGACAATGGAAAGCAGTCAACACTCCAGCTCAGCCTGACTGACAGGTTGTAAGTGGGGATTGTTCTGGCTCTGTCTCTGAACAAACAAGCTGTGTGCAGAAGAGGTCCGGCAAAGACAGAGAGCTGAAAGAGGAGTACAAGAAGAAGTCCTGCAGCGACAGAACCAGACACAGACAGGCCAAGCAGTGCAGACCCTGTGTTGAGCAGCAGACTGGCAGTGCTCAGAAAGCCAAAAGGAACAGAGAAACAACACAAGGAGCTGGAACTGGCCAAGCAGCACAGCCTGCAGCTGGATGTGGTGAGCTACTGGGACCTGCAAAGTGTGGGGAAAGGCTCTGGACTGGGAGAGGGGTCTGGCCACTTAGAGACTGAGGCTGTGTGGTCACTGCCAGTGCAAGTGTGTCCAGCCTGCAGCCCCTTGCAGCACATCCAGGGCTTCTAAGGAAGAGACTGTGAACTGTCCTTACACTCTGCAGACTGCTGTGTTGATGTCCCTGTGCTACAGAGCAGGGCTGTGTGTTCTCATTTAACCATTCTCATTGTTTCTTATTCTATTCTCTTTAATCAGTTGATGTTTAATAAATTGTATTTGCTTTGAACCTTATGAAGTGATCACTGGGCCAAGAAGGCCTGCAGTGTAAAGAGAGCACCTCGGAGTGGGGACACCCTAACTCCTGCCCCTAGTGACTACAAGGTCAGGGATTAAGCCCCAGGAAACCTGGGCCCAGCCTTGTTGGGGTTTCAAGGGCTCTGCTACTCAGGAGAGTGGAGGGGGAGCCCTCAGGATCAGGGAGCCGTGGGGTAAAGGAAGTGGGAGCGGGGACTCAGATCCTTTCGCTGGTTCATTTCACCGGGGTGTATAGAAGCCAGGAAAGTTCCCCACAAGAGCGGGACCATTCCCCCGCTTACAGATACACATATACAGACACACACACAGTTATTGACAAACACACACACACACACACACACACATTTTGAATGTTCCCTTCCTAGATAATGCTTCTGCTGTGTCTGTGCACGCAAACTATATGCCTCCATATATAAACATACCAAAACACCACCAATCTTAGTATCATCTTTCTTCAGCAAGTTTGTTTAAATATAGGTGTTGGGTTGACTCCAGAAGGAGGTACAAGTGGTTTCAGGCTCAAGACAAATTGTTATGAATTTGACAATTCACGGTGTGAATATTCTTAGTGAATGTTTCCTTCTCTAAGGAGACCAAAATATCAATTAACATGAGTGTTAATGTTATCGCTCCTAGTTTATGTGTGTATGTATAGGTATTATTTATGTTCTTCCATTCTGGCTTCAAATGAAAAATCTTCTTGTCTAAACAGGTATGTCAAACACCACAACTGTGTCATTTCACTATTTCACACACAAACTCCCACAGGTATGCAGGGGAAAAGCTGCTTAGTTTGTATTGCTGGAACTCATTGCTGGAACATCCCAGAGCTCTGAGTTTGTGGTTGTTTTTTTTGTTTTATTTTCGTGTTTTTTCTATTCTCCTCTTGAAGTTGAGGAAGAAGCAGAGATTATTCTTCTCGCTTGCTGCATGCAAGTTTTCCTCTTTGTGATTTTCTAGTTTTCTTTTTGCTTTCTTACAGCCAACACAGTGGTTGGTGAATACAAAATCAGCCATCTCAGACAGAGGCCAAGCATCCTGGGAGAGAGAGCAAGCAGGAGAGAAAGAGACAAGATCAGCCCGTGCAGAACACAACATTTTAACGCCAGGGGCCATTTTCTCTTCTTCTGTAAAACAAACAGTCAAATAAATACATAACAGTAAATAATAATAATTAATGAATAAACAAATGAGAGCCATGGAGAAAGATGCTTCCTAATGTTGTCAGGCTGATTCTTCCTCTGATGGCAACTCCTATTGTTCAGTCCTTGCACTGCAGTGATAAGGAGCGTTTACCTCAACAGGAGTGTTCTGTTTGCTGCTGGTTACTGTGACATGTGTCAACAGAAGGGTCTTTTTTTATCATCTCTGTACAAATCAGCACGTCTGATCAAAGCTGTGACTCCCCTATGGGACCAAACCAACTGGCAAAGGTGCCCTGGTGGCCACTCAGTCCAAGGTAATCAGAACTCTATAGTTCCTGTCTGCTGGCACCCCTAAAAGCTGCAGGCCCCCTGTCCCTCGAGCCATTGAGCACCACCCAGGATATCTCCCAGGCCTCCTCGGATGCCTGGGAAGGATCTTCAGGTAACTTGTCACACACATACACAGGGCGGGGAAATTGGGGGCACAGGGAGCGGGGGGATGAATGTCTCTCTGGCTGCACATGGTGCTGCAGTCTGTGCACATGCAACCACGTGCAATGGGAGGGTGCGGAATGCGGATCCTGAACATGCCCGGGATCCTGCTGCCAAGCTCAGGGGAGGGCACACACATCCTGCCCCCTCAAGGAATGGGGGGTGCACCCAGCTGGAAGCAGGCTAGCCACAAGAGTGCAGGCACAAGCCCAGACACACCCAGGAGTGCTACACACAGCACACAGGCATGCCTGCACATGCGAAGCAGCAACCACTCCCACAGACAGCACAGTGAGCCGCAGCTGTATGTACAGACCCCAGGGAGGGCCAGGCTGCTCCCGGCTCCTCTGCCACCCAGGGGATCCCACTGTGGCCAGACACTTCCCTTGCCTGCCTGTCTGGTGTGTGTGGCGGGGGGGGGGAAGAGGGCAGCACAGTCCTCTGGGCACATTGGGATCCCTGTGACACAGGGCATACTGTGCAGGCCACACATAGCCTTGCACCTGGGATATCCTCTTCGTGTTTTGGTCGCCGCTCACAAAGGAGGGCATGGCCTCTGGGAATGTGCGTGCAGGGATGACTGATGGCTTCTCCCTCTTGTGTGTTCTCCACAGCCGAACACCACCGCAGCCACCTGCCAGAGTCCAGGGACCCGCAGACGAGCCAGGGTGCAGGAGGACCCGATGCATCAACATGTCAGACCTTGAATGGGAGCAAATGATGATGCGGTGTGACACCATGTGCGGCATCATGTCCTGCTTGGTGGAACACTCACCTGATGCCGGTGCTCCTGGCTTCCACCCTCCTGCTCCCCCTCCTGTGGCCTTTGCCCATCTGCCTGCCCACCCTGCTGTGCCTCTGATCCCTCCCCATGCCATGCCTCTGCTTCCTCCCATAGTATTGGGCCATGCCTCCTCCCCAAGTGATGCCTATGGCCCCCCTCCTGTCCACTCCTTTGTGGGCCCCAGACCCTCCCCCCAAAGAGGACCTTGCACCTGAGGTGGCACAGCAAGCCACCCCGCTACTCCTCCCAGTCCTGATCCCCCCTCCCAGTTCAGAATTCCTTCTCCCAGTTCAGAATTCCCCCTCCCCCTGCCCACCTTTTCTTTATATACAATAAAGAAAGACTAGTTTTGGTTTCAAAACAACCAGGTGTGTTTATTGGGAGGTCAGGGAAGGGGCAAGGGGAGCAAATGAGAGCTGCGAGGCAGAGGCCCCTGTTGGGGAGACCCTGGGGAGAGTTATACGGCTGCCTGAGAGAACCTCTCCCTCAGGGCCTCCCGGATGTGCACCCCAGCCTGATGGGCCTGGCGTGTGGCAGCAATCTGGCACTGCCCAAACGCACAGCCCTCACGGCCGGCGTCTGCCTCCCACCTCAGGGAGAAGGCCTCCCGCTTGTGCTCCACCATATTGTGAAACACAGAGGACACCGCCACCACCTCAGGGATATTATGCTCCCCGACATCCAGGCAGGTGAGGAGGCTGTGGAAATGTGCTTTGAGGTGCCTGAAGGCGCACTCCACCTGCATCCTTACTTGGTTGAGGTGTCCATTGAGAAGGTCCCGGCTGGGTTTGAAGTGGCTGTTATACAGCTGCATTAGCCAGGGCATGAGTGGGTATGCCGTATCCCCCACTATGCACACTGGTATGTTCTGGGGCCCACCGAAAAGTCCTGGTGGGGGAAAAAGGTGTCCACCTCCAGCTTGGCACACAGGCTGGAGTTCCGAAACACTCGGGCTTCGTGTGCCCTACCTGACCACCCCACATAAATGTCTGTAAAGTGGCCCTGGTGGTCCATCAGGGCCTGCAGTAGCCCCTTCTGTTTATAAACTGGACTGCTTGATGGTCCAGTGCCTGAATGGGGATTTGTGTCCCATCAATGGCTCCCCCACAACTGGGGAACCCTAGGGCAGCAAATTCAGCTACAGTCATGTCCAGGTCCTCCAGATGGACTACTCTCCGCAGCAGCACGGAGCTGATGGCCCTGACCACCTGCAGTAGGAGACAAACACAGAAAACAGAGAATGAGGGAGGGGGGGTGTTAGCCCTTGGGAGGTGCCCATCCCCTTTCCCTCCTCTGCCCCCCCCAAACCCTCCAGGAGCCACCCCCTAGGAGCCCGTTCCCCCACCCCTCCAGCAGCAGGGCTGTGTGAAGGGTGGGATGGCACAAGTCCCTGGGTACAGGGCTTTCCCGCCACTCCCACTACACCCCTTCAGTCCTCAAAGCCCCCTTCCCAAGGGTCCCTCTTATCCAACACTCTCCCCTCCCCACCGGGTGGGGACTGCAGCCCCTGAGTGCCTTACCTGCATAAGCAGGGCCCCGACGGTGGACTTCCCCACCCCAAACTGGTTGGCCACCAAGTGGTAGCTGTCGGAGGTGACGAGCTTCCACAGGGCTATTGCGACCTGCTTCTGCAGGGGGATGGTGGGCCGCAGGTGGGTGTCATGTCTTTGGAGGGCAGGTTCCAGCCAGGCACAGAGCTCGAGGAAGGTGGCCTTGCACATTCGAAAGTGGTGCAGCCACTGCTGGTCATCCCACCACTTCAGAACCAGTTGGTCCCACCAGTCCGAGCTGGTCTCCAGCCTCCAAAAACACCTCTGTACACTGGGGTGCGGCAGCCATGCAGAGGATCCCGAGAAGGAGTTTGGAGTCAACATCCAGCATGAACATGAAGGCAACTGAAAACTACAGCATGGCTATGTGGGGCCATTGCCTACCCAGGAGCAGCTCTGGCTCCATGGCGCACACAGGAAAAAAGCTGTGGCATACCCAAAAAGAACAGGGCAACCACAGCAGGCACTGCTGAAGCTTTGCTGTCCCTCAAAAGAGGTCTATGAGCAGGCAGCAGGAGCGGCTGTCCAGGGGGGTCCCTTTAAGTGTGTATCTCTGCAGGGCTCTGGCAACAGCACTGAAGAGCCACTGGCGACCTAAAACCCAGACAGAACTGGTTCTGGGTGGCTTTATATGTGAGAGAGCATCCAATGAGTGTGGACGCTCTCTTTTGCAAAAGCGCCTCACTTTTTCAATGTGCTTTTGTGTGTGGACACTCTCTTGCTCAAGAAGCCTGTATTGTAAACATAGCCTCAGTGTCTCCATCTCTGAGATGGGGTTGAAAGACCTGCCCACCTCTCTGAGGGGCAGGTGGGGTAGGGTTAGTTAATGCTGCAAGGCATAATGACTGCAAAGAGGAGATGCACCACAATTAACCCCACTCTCAGGCTTCCTGCCAGCCATGAACTGCTTCAACTCCCAGTACAGCACAGAGCAGCCATGCAACAGCTGTTCTGTCAGTCAGAAATCACCAGGGGGTATGGCTTTGATGATCATGCCCCCTTCCGCAGACTATGCTCTCTGGGGCTATGTCTACACTGGGCCAAATTTCGGAAAAACTTCCTCTTTCGGAAGAGGCTTCTGAAATAGAACATCCGCTCTTCTGCAAAAAATGTCAGAAGAGCAGACGCCTTCCCTGGACGTGGCAGAGTTTTCCTCGGTTACTTCTGGTATCCCGGAAAAACTCTGGAGTCTAGACATAGTCTGGGCTAAGAACCAGAAAGAGCATGGCATAGACAGAACCAGGCAGATAGAGCTATTGACCCTTTTTACTGTGCAATAATGCAAAAGATTCCTACTGGGGCAAGAACCTAGCCCCTAGGTGCTAGTCAATATGATGAGTAGCAGCGTGGAACGGACCCTCCTGAGCACAGCCTTGTGGCTTCGCTGTAAAGAGGAAGAAGGCAAACAATTTCCTCTTGATTATCCTACCACTGCTGTAGCAGGTGTGGGACTTTCTAGGGTGGACTGCTTCAACATGTAGGTCTACAGAAGAAGAGATGTGGAAATTGAACAAAACCAGCTAAAGTTTTGGTCTATTTATCCAAGTGACTTGAGACTTCAGACAGGTCTTACAGATTATATCATCCTCATCCTCATCATCACCGTCCTCACTAAGAACACTAAATAATACATTAGTGCTACCCCATGAGCTCTCTCTAACCTGCCAGACCCTGATTTCACAGGAGAGGTTTCCAATTAGCTTGTCATGTGAGCTCATTTAATCTTTCAGGCCCCTCTTTCTCCAGGGCCCCAGCTACTCTTCCCTGTCCCCGCTGTGTCTCAGAGGAATGGCTGATTTCCAGCCGGCTAGAGAGCAACTGAGAATGGTGTAATTGCAATATAATTAATGAATTAAAAGAATGAGATGTTTTAAGTGCTTTTAATATCCCAGTCCCTATAATTATCTGCAGGAAACGTGTTCATTAACAATCTCAGAGTACAAGGCTGTGGCTTATGCCAGTGAGTGCTACCTTCTTGGGGGAGTAGGGTGGGGAGAATCTACTTTTGTGATCTTTCCGGGAACTTTGCTTTCTCCCTAAACTTGGATCTAGCTGAAATAAAAGATAGTCAATGGCACCATGATCTGAATTAGTCCCTTGCACTTGACTGTAGGAATTGGAAGGCAGGATGGCCTACTGGACACAGCATTAGACTGGGAGTAAAGAGATGTGAGTTGTATTCTGAGCTCTGCTGTGCAGTTTTGTGTGTACAAGATCCAGATGAAATAGGCCACTTTCAGCATGAAGATATTTCCCTGTTCTGCCCTATGACCCGCCCCCATGGATTACAATGGGCATTGCACCCATGTATGCCAAAACTGAATGAGATTCTGTACACAAATTATTAAGCTTCACTCAGTAAGCTACACTGAAGGCCAAGCAGGATGGCATAGCAAGTGCCTGACCAAGCAAAGGAGTCTCCAATTGCCATGGCTCTAATTTGAATCAATGAATCACTGCTGGGAATTACCCACCATGCCTGATTGGAACTGAAAGGACATTGAAGTAAGGAAGTTCACACATGGAAGCTGTGTCCCTAGCAGGGGGCTGCTTGACTCCCATCCTGTTTGCACGAGTGTAAGTCAAGAGTAAATCCATTGACATGATGGAATTACTGGCATGATATCAGAAGAGATGGCCCATTGGAGTCCTGAGGGCACTGTCACAAGGAAGCTCATGCTGTGAAACTGACTGATAGGGCCTGGTTCTGTTCAAAGTTCTGTCCTTCCTAGCATCTTAAATTGTAACTCAAATCAGCCAGCTCTGTGACTAATGCATTCCGTGGATGGAAAGGTTCTGCTGCACACTAGGCTGGAGGCTCTGTGACACTGTACATTGTTTTCTGGTACATTTTCGGACTAAATGAGCATTTCATTTGGAGGGGGCCAGCTGCCAGCGCTCAGACATGCTCAGCAACATGCCACAGAATGAATCGTAGGGTTATCGCACATTTCAATTCCTAGCCTATTTGTGCTGAAAAGGCAACGCCATCCAGTAGGTGGGAGAGGAATAAAACAATCCAGGGGCTGAGGAAGAGGCCGAGAGTTCCCAAGAGCCACAGAGAGGGCAGGAGATCATGACGGGAGCAGGATCTGTACGGAATGGAAGGGGTGCTCGTGCAGCGTGAGTCCCTCTCTCTTGACATTGGCGTTCAGTTTCCAGATCCTTTCAGTGCAGTGCCAGGCTGAGCCCTGGCATCATGGCTGGAACGCGGGTCTCAGGACAATCCCATGGCCCAGTCATGACAAATATCTTACAAAGCTGAGGTGCTGCAGGATCCCAGGGTCCATCTTTACCACATGCCCCAATAGTGACAGTTCAGAGTCTGTGTTGGTAGAGCTAAAATACCACAGCCCTGCACCCCGGCATTACCACATGTCCCAATCTGGAGAGCAGGGTACCTTTTTTGAAGGTAGGAGCTATATGCAATTGTTCAAGTCTCAACTTGCAGATGATCAGACAGGCACTTAGATGTATAGGAATAACACCCTCTAGCTCTTTCCA